TTCACAAAACGCACACAACACCAAGCAAAGACTGATACAAGATGGCTACCTGTCTCATTCCTTTTAACTAGTCCTAGTAGAGTCTATGTTTTTGCTAGAGGCATTTCTTAGTAAAGTCACTTAAGCTGGCCATACACTGCTTGAATTTTGGTCCTGCTAACTTGGCCAAAATTCGAGCAGTGTGTGGCCCTGTCGGCACCCCTCTGTTTGATTTTTCTATCAACATTTTTTGAAGGAGTCAACCTTAAAATTCAGAGGTGGAACAGTTATTGCAGCCAATCAGTAGCATTTGCTGTTAGAGTATTCTGGCAGCTACACACTCGCCGCTGTCACAATAGTGACACTCCAGAGATCATACTCTGATATTGATCCTGTTAAGTATATGACTGGCTTCATGGTGGAAAAATAACAGGTACACTTTTTAGTTCCTCCTGAGTATCCTAGGCTTAAAATTGGCAACCTCTATTTACAAAGGTTTGGAGGATACACATGAAATTGCCTTAAAATACCTAACTTCATATAATGTCTGCCAAACTTTCTTTTTTTTTTAGTTTTTAGAAGCTATGATGGGAAGGATGGGCATTATTACTGTGGCATGTCCATTTTTCGCAAGCAGGACAGGAAACAAGGCTGTCTAATCCTTAAGTAAAAACTGTACAAACTGAAAAGGGAATAAATAGCAACATCTCCAGTACAAACGCAGTTTCCAGCTGCTTTGCACCACGGCACTAAGCTCCCAGAAGAAAACTGTAAAACTGTGAGGTATTGAAGGTGTAGGAACCATACTGAATCCAGTGAACCTGAGGTAACTCTACCATTTTTTTTAGGGTGTGATCAGAAAAAAAAAAAAGTCATTAACACTCTATTAGAAGGAATTAAAAAAAAAAACTATACAAGGGCATTTCCAGTAATCAAAAATCCTTATATGTCCACTTAACCATCTACTTACTTCAGGATTGGAAAAATTTTAAGCAGTAAAATAATATATTATAAAAATGTTTATAAAATAGCAGCACACTCAGTGAAACAATACAGCTAAGTACTGTTAATGTGAATAAGAATGAAACAAATTTTAGCTCCATAGCAGCGCAAAACAAAACAAAAAAAATATACATTTTCACCTTGTATCAGCCTTTGTAGCCAACACACGGCAAACCCCATTTTCAATTGTGTTTCGATCGATTTTTGTCTTTTGTTTCAAATTGCAAACAGCTTAACAAATGTATCAGCTGTATCATAAAATTGTGCAACAGCATTGACAAAAAGTTGCAACAGCATTAAAAAAAAATACATATATAAAATTAAAATAAAATGATGCCAAATTGCTGTAGCAACCACAAGAATAAGAACAAAAATGAATTCAAGTACACTGGCACAAATTTTTTTCACGCAACAAAATTTCTTGATGTTTACCGTTTTGTCACCAGCAATTTCATCACAATTAACTAAAATAAAATGAATTGAACCCTGTAGGGCCTACGGCACTAGCAATAAGGTCAACCGAAGGGGTTAACATTCTTCAGGGTCATGATAGAACAAAAGAAAACAATACTTTAGTTTCTGATACATCCGGAATGTTCATAAAGGAATGTCATCCAACTGCAGGTGTTGAAAAATCCAGCAACACCAAAATGCCTTCAGGCTGTTGTGGGGGGTCACGCAGGCTGAAAAAAAATGTGGTGGGGTCAGCAAAAAGTTTCATAAACCATCCCATTTATCCCTTAGGAACTATTTTCAAAGTGCTTTTTCGAATGAAATGGTTTACAATAATGCTAACAGCAGACCAGCCATGGAAAACAACGGTGGAAGTGGGGAAATAAAAAAATGTTTTTAAAGGGGATGTCTCCACAAAAAAAGCTTTAATTAGCATTTAGCCAATGAAAAAAACTAAAATCACTGCTGTGTGAAGTTTAGGACTTATCAAGGAGACAATGGACCAACCAGCTCCTGGTGCATCATGGTGGATTTTAATTATATATTTTGTCTTAGCTAAAGGCCCATTTAAAACTTTTTATATCCCCTTATACGTTTTTGGAAATAGCTCCCATAATGAAAAGGAGCTGTGTTCTCTTTTAGAATGGCAAGGAGTACCTTAACGTTTTTCTTTCAGCTTGCTGGGACCATATATTGTTTGCCTTGAAAGGCATTTTAACTTCACATTTCTGAACAATTTTACACTATAAGGCAGAGCAATAAAAAATAACTTTATTTGCTTTCAAAGTAGACAAGTGGAAGCCCAACTGAACAGTTTAAATCAACTAAACACATTTCAGGAGCATCAAAAAGGGTCCTTTTCTGCAGCATGCTGGCAGGGGATAGGCTTATCGACTTAGTTTGAGGCTGCATGATAAGAAAGAAAAAAAAACAATTGTAAGACTTTGTATACCTTTTGTTTTTAAGCACCTGAAATGTATTTATCTGATTTAAACCAAAAATTCAGTTAGCCTATAATATAGAATTCAGCAAGCAGTTTTCAATGACATCTATAGAATACACCCAAAAAGTTTGGGCTTCACCATAAATCTTTAGGCTTGCTGGCAAAATGACTTCAATGAGTATTTTTTTTTGAAAGGGCTTTTCAAGTATGTTCCGTGCCCAGTGTTCCACCTTGTTGCCATGTATCTATATCTATGGAATACCAGGCCTATGCCAAGAATTCTTCTCAGATTCGTGCCAATATAAGTATTTTATTCCATAGACACAGTTGTGCCTTTGGTTGCCCCATGGCAAAATATAAAACCTGACTGGTTTTTGCTGGACACAGTTGATACCTCAAAGGCCTAAAGAGGAAAAACGGGTGAGTTCACTGCTCTGCCTTAAAGTGCCCATACACTGCACGATTCTCGTACGAGAATCGCGGGAAATCCTGCGATCGTACGAGAATCGTGCAGTGTGTATGAAGACGTGCGACCGTTTCTACTGTACGGTCGCACGTCTTTTGTCTAAGGAGCATGCTAGAAAACCAGCCCAAAATCTTACGATTTTCGGCTGGTTTGAATGATGCTCGGGAGACAAATGCCGAACGGGCCGGTGTGCGCACGCACGTTCAGCATTGCGGTCATCGGAAGCCCGCCCCTCAGGGGGGCGTTTGCGATGATCGCAAGTACGATCTGCCTGTCCAAGATGGGCAGATCGTACGTTTTTTTAATTACTTTACAACCATCGCAAGACTAAGACTTGTAATGTGTATGGCCACCTTTACAGTCTCAAAAGTGGAGTTGGGCTTGACCAATTTTGTGATCCACAGTAGGCTGTAAAACCCCTCTTTATGTCTACATATTCTCTAAGGAAGGAAAAAAGTCAAGGGGTACAAAAATAATAATGAAAAAAACAAAAAACACCAGCCTTAGGCTTGCAAAAAAATAAAGCATCTTTTTTTCGGTAGCAGCTACCATAGATAGCAAAAGTAAACAAAAACTAAACAGGAGATTGAGAAAGCACCTCTCATTAGATAACAATGAAAACAGAACAGATCCCAATTTCATATCGACGTCCCAAAAAGTAAGAAAACTGCTTCAATCTCTTTAGGGATCATTCCGTCTTTTTCGGCCTCTAGAATCCATTAGTCTTTTGCTTTGCAATCTATACATGAAAAACAAACCACAATTACCCGCTCAATCCCTCTGCGACGTCTAGCGAGAGAGGTGTAAGCGACTACAACATAAAAAAAGGAACATCTAAACTTTTATCCCACAAATGTATACTTAATTTTCTCGCTAAGTTTTATGCTTACATAAGCACTTCATTTTAAACAATATAATAATAAAGAACAGAAATGATCAAATATATTGTGGGATTCCCTTCTAAATGGACATGACAGGCACCAAACACGTAATAATTCTTTTTTTTTTTTTTTTTAACCTTGTTGCCATGTATCTATATCTATGGAATACCAGGCCTATGCCAAGAATTCTTCTCAGATTCGTGCCAATATAAGTATTTTATTCCATAGACACAGTTGTGCCTTTGGTTGCCCCATGGCAAAATATAAAACCTGACTGGTTTTTGCTGGACACAGTTGATACCTCAAAGGCCTAAAGAGGAAAAACGGGTGAGTTCACTGCTCTGCCTTAAAGTGCCCATACACTGCACGATTCTCGTACGAGAATCGCGGGAAATCCTGCGATCGTACGAGAATCGTGCAGTGTGTATGAAGACGTGCGACCGTTTCTACTGTACGGTCGCACGTCTTTTGTCTAAGGAGCATGCTAGAAAACCAGCCCAAAATCTTACGATTTTCGGCTGGTTTGAATGATGCTCGGGAGACAAATGCCGAACGGGCCGGTGTGCGCACGCACGTTCAGCATTGCGGTCATCGGAAGCCCGCCCCTCAGGGGGGCGTTTGCGATGATCGCAAGTACGATCTGCCTGTCCAAGATGGGCAGATCGTACGTTTTTTTAATTACTTTACAACCATCGCAAGACTAAGACTTGTAATGTGTATGGCCACCTTTACAGTCTCAAAAGTGGAGTTGGGCTTGACCAATTTTGTGATCCACAGTAGGCTGTAAAACCCCTCTTTATGTCTACATATTCTCTAAGGAAGGAAAAAAGTCAAGGGGTACAAAAATAATAATGAAAAAAACAAAAAACACCAGCCTTAGGCTTGCAAAAAAATAAAGCATCTTTTTTTCGGTAGCAGCTACCATAGATAGCAAAAGTAAACAAAAACTAAACAGGAGATTGAGAAAGCACCTCTCATTAGATAACAATGAAAACAGAACAGATCCCAATTTCATATCGACGTCCCAAAAAGTAAGAAAACTGCTTCAATCTCTTTAGGGATCATTCCGTCTTTTTCGGCCTCTAGAATCCATTAGTCTTTTGCTTTGCAATCTATACATGAAAAACAAACCACAATTACCCGCTCAATCCCTCTGCGACGTCTAGCGAGAGAGGTGTAAGCGACTACAACATAAAAAAAGGAACATCTAAACTTTTATCCCACAAATGTATACTTAATTTTCTCGCTAAGTTTTATGCTTACATAAGCACTTCATTTTAAACAATATAATAATAAAGAACAGAAATGATCAAATATATTGTGGGATTCCCTTCTAAATGGACATGACAGGCACCAAACACGTAATAATTCTTTTTTTTTTTTTTTTTGTATTTAAAATAGTTTTAAATATTTTTTCTAAGTGGGAGCAGATATAAACGGGTTGTTCTAAAAATACAGAACAAGGGAGAAAACAAAGAAAGACTCCATCGCTTGGCGGGAGCCCTCACAGGTTGATGTCTCGCACGTCTGTAGGGGTGCTGGCCTGGTCCAGTTCGTCCATGGTCTTAGACGTGTTTCTTTGCTGAGCCTGCTGTCTGTTTTGTCTGAGGCTGCTGGCCAGCACAGATTCAATCTGTTCTTGACAAGCTTTAAGGCAATCCTGCAGTTAAAACAAAACAAAACCTATAGATTAAAATAGATTCATTAAAGCCAAACACGGGGCAAACATTTAAATACACAGATGAAATAAAACAAGTCAGAATTGTTTTTATCCGCAAAAAGATTTGTATTTATATCCATTCATTCCTGAGATTTACACAGGTGGTGGACTTTACTGTCCCTCTAAAAAATGATCCCTGGTGGATTGCTTTTCAGAGGTGGTTGAGTGGCGGCATTCAGATGATGATACTGCCACCTCTTGAATAACTGATTTTTTTCTGATCTCATGGGGGAATTTACATTAAAACGACAATTGCAGCGCAGTCCCACTGACTTCAAGAGGCATGTTTGGCAAGCAGCATTGCCTGTCAACTTGACTGCACCACAGAGTGAAGCATTGTGGCCATGACAATGTTTGCGGACCTAAGCAGTTGCCATGTAAATTTGTAGGTAGGCAGTCAGTCAAAGGCAGATCAACGGCCTGTTTTTATTGCCCCTTTGCCGCCCATGTGAACTTTAAGGAAAACCAGTGGTGTCCACTCTTCACCCCCTGCCTACTGACTGGACAGTGAAAGAGCAGCACACTGATGAAGTCATCCCTCTGCTCACTTCTTTGTTAACACATCTGCATGCAGAACACCTGATTTGCTCAAAGACTTGTCTCTCCTAATTCCAGTGCTGCTGTATAGGGGACTGGAAAATATTTAAGCTAGATGTAGTAAAATACATGAAATGATTTTACAGAGATTTTGAGCCTCTTTTTAGGGTGACATAACAAGTGTTCAAAAACGTGTTGCCTACTAGTGTTTAAAATAAAGCATCTCCCAGAGTTCCAGTAACCTCTGAGCTACAAACAGTAGCTCATCAGTGGGCCTGAACTCAGTGGACCAGAACTCAACAAATTATCTTATGCTGTCTTATAAGAAACATCTAAAATATTCATTGTAGATCTTTCAGGGTACTGGTTGACTCAGGCACATTTTGACTCAGTTTACTCATGAAAACTAGCAGTGCACTTCCTGTGACTAGATAGCACTCGGTGTATGTCTGTAGTGTGAGATCGTCGAAAGCACTGCTGCCTATGACTCCAAGTCCCACAAGATCTGGAGTGAGATTGGGTGATGTCACTACTGTGCTGATCACAATTCTCCTTGCTGGAGAGGAAGCTGTACCTGAGGAACTGTAGTGCAAGACTCTAACTGCTTCTGCTTTTATCTATTCCGTTGATCTGTGCTGACTTCACTTTTCCTGCAGCTTCTTAAATATTCCACCAGCAGTCATCAGACCACCAGTCTTCAGAGGGGGCAGATGTGACATGAGGAAGCAAGTCCTTCCCCTCTACTAGGATGGCCACCACGGCACAGAAACAGTGCAGACAATTAAGTCAGTGATGAGGAAAAGATCAGCTGCAGGGAGCATAGAGGCAGCACTGGTGACTAGTCTTTTGTCTTCTGCTCGCCTATGTGGATATAGCTTTCATAGTTGAAATCCTTGTTAAGGATGCATACACCGACGCTTAAAACAAAAGTCTCAAAATAGAAACCAGATGGTTTTTTTTTTATATTGGGGGAAGGTGCACTGGCTACCTTACGCCGATTTGACCAGTCCACATATAATATAAATGCGTGCCTCTGATTTCTATCACCAGCTTAATTTTGCTTGAATCCACCGGAAAACAAAAGCATAAATCAAATAATTAGTTACTTAAAGATACATTAGCTTATTTAGGAAGGAAGTGCCAACAATGGAGCTTAATCCCAACAGCATCCAGTTATTGTTGATCCACAGACTAAGGGATTAAGAGTTGTATGTCTGACCAAATACTTGATATTCTATTGAGATGCCACATAAGCAAACCCTCTCCTGCAGAATATTCTCATCTTTCCAAGAGGACCGCGTAGATTTATCAAAGCCGCCAACCTTTTATACCTTATGTCGACTCCTCTAAGCCCCTAACTTAACTTGTATTTCATTCTGTGCCCTTTAAGGAGCAGCTCTACCTGCCAATTGTCTGTCTCTTTTTATACTTTAAATCTTTTTTTTTTTTTTTTTTTAGTGCCTCTGCTGAACAATAAGATGAAACTGTGTGTAAAGTTTCCTGTGGATTTCAAACCTGCTGTCACCCATCCTGGGGGTTGCTTGCCTGCTTAACCCCATAGGAGCTAGAAGCAACCCCAATTCTTTGTGCTCCTGTGCCTGGAGGATTCTGGGCGCTCCAGGGGTTAAGCAGCTGACATGTTTTGCATCAACTTTCATGGTACAAGATAAATGGAATTCCACAGATTCTTCAGCATTATTTGAAACTAGAATGGATCTTGTGAACTAGCGTGGGAACAGTACTGTGTGCACTGCTCCCCAGACTGCTAGTTTAACAAAGATTAGGAACCAAGGGGATGGAAAGCTCTGAAACCTGGTGGTGTCTTGTGTTTCTTAAATATTTAAAGGGCAACTTCAAGGAACAGGTAGCAATTCTTTTTTTTAACGTAAATGTAAAACCTAACCTAAGTTTGTTAAAGCACTGTATCATAAGTGATTGCAATCTCTTTCAATCAAATACTTTTCACCTTTTTTTTTAATCTTTAGTTGCTACTTGTCTCCTGCAGCCTCTTTCCAGCCATGCCCTGTAAACATGCACTCTAGCGATGGCTGCATGGCATTTGTCAAGGCAGGATTCTTGATGGTAGCAAAAGTGGACCATGTCTGTGTAATGTTAAAATAGCTGCTTGCAGTCTCTCTGTTGGAAGCTCGTGTGAAAGGCTGACAACGCAGGAGCACTTTTAGGAGGCACAGCATTGTCATCCTATCACCGGAAGTGCCTGAACTAGGACCTTCTTTGTAAAATGATCAGGTTTTATGTAAATGAAAGCTGCAGATTTAAAACTATTGATAAATTTATTTTGGACACTGTATGGAATGTTAAAGCTTCATGACATTTGGGTACCACCTGCACATTCACTTAACCATAGTGATTTAGCAGGCTGGGTAGTCAGGTGCAAAATATACATCTTAGGGTGAAGGTTAAAGGCATGAGTGGGCAGACTGTTTCTATTGAGTCACTGTACATGCACAATAAAGCTATTTGTGAAAATGGAAAATAAACTTCCAGCGAAGGGATCGCTAAACAGTGCAGTGAAAATACCTGTTTCCATTAATGGGTCGGGTCCATCACTGGCCAGATGAGCAAACCATTGCTCCCTTGCTGATAAAAATTTGGAGAATGTAAGTCAGCAGTGAGCGACCAATTCCTCACTCATGCAGCCAACAAAGGAGTGACCTGTACAAATGAGTATTTGTTTGCTTTGCCCTGTATAGCGATCCTGCTGCAATCGCAAGTGTCATATCAGCCTAATATATAGGATATATATTCGTGAATGATATGGGTGATCCAAGACAACCTGGGCTCAGAGGACGTGGGTTGAATGATGCTGGCCATTAGACTAAGGATGCCTGGCGGCAGAAAAAAAAGTTCAAATGGGGGGAGGAACTCAGGATTTGAGGTGAATATAGCAGGAAACACTGGTTTAGTTTTTTATGTTTTAATGGGTTTTCCATATTTATTTTATTTTTGGTTGGAGTTCAGCTTTAAAGGGCTATAATGTGGGAGTGTTTTACCCTTATACTTTGCAAAACTCTCCATACTGTCTAAATGTAAAATAAATGATTACAACATTAACATGTAATGAGTCTATCTCATATATTAGTTTCACCTTTTAAGTTGCATTAGTGAAATAAATTAACTTTGCACGATATTCTAATTATTCGAGTTTCACCTGTATATGCATACATGTTATACAGATTGCTGAATTTTCCTAATAGAAAATTACTTAAAAAAATTAAAAGGAATGACAAATTCTTTCTGCGGTGGAAAAAAAAATAACCAAACTATTCCTCAGTTCCATCAGGAATTTCCTCTGGGAGGACAGGACATGATCAGCATGAGCTGTATCTGAATTAAAAGGCTGCAGGCCTTTGCCAGCTTTTAATTGCCAAGCGCACACGGTTGTCATCAGAGTCGTTGAACTCTGGTTAAATGGTTGGGGCCTGAGTCTACCCAGCGCATTCCCTGTGTGCCAAAGGTTTATTTTAAACCACACATGTTAATCAGAGTGATCAGCCGTGTCCACAAGCTGAATTGTAGCACATACACCGCCGGTGGCTCACGCTGTAAACGCCTTTCCCCCGCTGACTTATTTCCTTGTCGGATGACGCGTCTTATGTGGTTTGGGTAGAATCTTCCAAAAACACCCATATGTTGTGTGGAGTTGTATAAGCTTCTGAGCTACATTTGCAGCACTAAGTAAGAAGGAATTATAATGGGAGAGTCCAGTAATACTTTAGCAAGAGATGTCCTTAAGGAACAGTGAGGGGAATTTATCAAAACTGGAGCAGACAAAAACTGGAGCAGCTGCACATGGCAACCAATCAGCTTCTCTCTTTCATTTTCAAATCTTAACTGAACAAACTAAAGAGAGAAGCTGATTGATTGCCGTGCACGGCTGCTCCAGATTTTATAAATCCCCCTCACTACAGCTACCGCTCAGACTTTTTGTTTTGTTTTGGACATAATGGGGAAGTGTTAAAATCTCTGTCAGGTTTTTTTTCCTGTCTGTGTCCTTGCTGGGGAGATTAGCCCCCTTTTTTTGTCCTATACAGACTGTCACAGAGACAGAAAGTGATGGGAAACCCAAAATGATATGGTTGTCAGCAGAACAGGAAAAGAGGGGATATCTTTTAATAGAGGTGATTTTCCTCCCTTTGGAGAGATCTCCTGTTGTGCCGGGACAGGAAATGAAGCAAAATCTCCCCAATAGGACAAAGAAAAAAAATGAAAAAGACCTTAAACAGGGTTTTAACCAATCTCTACTATGCAAAAGTAGAAATAATTTTGGCTTTAGATGTACTTTACTTTTTTTTATCCTAAAAAATGCAACTACTTAAAAGGGTCAGTCCATCAAAATCTGATCTTTTTTGAACTTAGCCAATGGAGATTTTAAACACTTA